ACAAAGATATATATATATAGGTTTGGCCTCCACGTTTATTCAACAAAGCAACAAACACAGTTTTAATATTGGAGGGCTTTATACAGCAAGTCCAAAGCAGTAAACAAACTTAACATCTAAACTAAACTCAGGTCTGTTCCTGAATAACAGGGTGTTTAATAATTTGTTAAAACAAACAGGCAACTCGTGTACATTTTTAGAGCAGCATACTCCCACAGCAGAAAAAGCTAGAGGGAGAGCCCCAAGGATCGCTCAGCTCACAAATATAAAGGCCTGTGCAGAGCTGAGACTAATAATGAGGTCTGGCTATCAGGTAACATGTGCTCGCTCAGCCTCCTGTGACAGCGTGTCAGGAAGGGGAGCGAGTACAAACACTCAGCGATCAGAGATTGCTGAGTGTTTGTAAATAATTGAGGAAATAGTATGGTTACTGTGCCCTCAATTATGAATGAATGGGAAGTGATCTACATCACCTCCTGTATCACCACCAACATTTTTAAATGAATCATAGTCACATAAATTCAAATACTATGATTTGTACAATTATTAGTTTATACATTTCATTATTCATCTAATAATAATTAATTATTATAACCTTTACAGTTATAGAGGAACCACATATTAGTGTTTTCCTTCTAAAAGAAATGTGTGTACCCATATACAAATCTATAAATCAATTTTATAGTGCCATCATTTAGAGGATATAACCTTGCCTACTATAGGGATCAACGATCTCTATATTTACTGGCACCAGGCTTTTTTTTTACCTTGGGTTTTTTCACTGATGCAGAAATGCACATTCAGTTTTGATGAGGTGTGCAGTTAACAGAGATGAGAGTAATTACTAAGAGATTGCTGACAGCCCATGTGACTAGCATGGTTGTTTACCCACCTGGAAAAGAAATATGACTAGCATTGACAATGTTAATTGACTGCTAGAAACAGTAACTGCTTTACAGTACTTTTCCTAGCAACAGCTAAACTGACTCCCACATGGAAGCCTCACGTACCTTCTGCCGTATGTGGAATTGCAGCACCAAAGTCTGAGCTCACCGCTTATACTGAACCTTTCTGACAATATGGGAGTGGTGAGCATAACAGCATGAGCATTTTGTATATCTCTTAACATGCAACATTGGTCTATCTGTATGGCCGTGCCGAATGCAGGAGGATATTATGTAACAGGACCAAATGATAAAATACCAGATAAAAGACTCATGACTGTAAAATCCTTATGATTCAGGTCAGACAAATTATTGAAGTATTAAGACTATGACTTTGTAGGTACTGTATGTAACAGGATTGTTGTTGATTTGTGGCCCTTGATCTGCTCTCTCCCTGGTGTTCCTGTTCCTTGATCTAGTTTTATGCTAAGAATGGTCACAGATGGTAGGATTGCTTATCAAGAGAGATACATTTATTCTTGAAATGTATCTGAGCTTTCCATGACCTTTTGTGGTCACACAGGTAAGCAGCAGATCTTGTGATGTATTTATTACAATATTCTGTGTTTTGCTCCCTTTTAATGAATTTCCTATCCATCAAGGGCCATCATTTTTGTGTCAAATTCCCAGTCTCCTTAGTTCAAATAGAAAGCAGCTTTGCCAAGAAATTAAATTAACCTAGAACATTGGGTGGACATATATAGATTCCTGCAACAGCTAAAGAAATGGATGAACTATAGCATGCATATAATACCCAGATTCACAAAATTCTAGAAGCAGTTTTTTCTCGAAGTTCCCCGTACTCAACAGTTGCAAGTGCAGGAGGTATCTGAATCATGTCCAAAAGTGTAAATAAGTAGTTCCAAAATAGGTAGGTTAAGGATACTTTTGCAATATTGTTGGAATTCAGAAACTTCCTTTCTGTTCCATACTTGCGAAGCAACTGTCGTAAGGTCATCTCTGGAGGAAAGTGATTCAAGGAGGCCTGCTCATTCTGAGGCCTGTGGCTGCCATCTAATAAGTTGACATGAGGCAGATGACTTTGCAAAAGATAGTTTTGAGGGTTGAGAAGGCCCAGACTGCAACCCAGGCCCCTGCAGAGGTTCTGTGTGTGAGATTGTAATGGAAAAGCCACATAAAAACTAATTAGCTTGCAAGGAAGGAGAAGGAGTTATGAAGTGTGCCATCTTGGGTTAATATTGGGTTTTCCTTTTTCCCTGTAGTGGATTACATGGTTATAACACAGTTTGGATGTTTCTGCAGATCTGCACAAATTCTGCAGACCCTGTAATCCTCTGCTTCATAGATCTTGCAGATTTCCCAATAAAAAGCTGGATGATCATGCTTGAAAATGCTGGCAATCAGTCCCTTAGACAAACTTGGAGCCAGGCCCTCAACATCTAACAGGTTGCCCACCAAACCTTAGACTATAATTAAATGTTTGTGAAGTTTTTAGTAGATATTATAAAATGTCACTCATTTTATAAAGGTTCTAGGTTAGTTTGCTTTATTTTCACTTCAAAGGGTGCAGAGTAGGCATTTATATGACAAACAACTTGTCTGTAAAAAATAAAAAAAAAAGCACTCTATTTTTCCCTTTTCAGTTTTTGCGATGTCTCTTTGTGATGCCTCTCTGTGTTTTGGTCTCTGCACCTTTCTGTATAGTACTCCTTGATGAGTCTGCCACCTACATTCCAGCTTAGCGGTGGAGAGAGATAAGCAAAAGAGCAAGCAATGCATATTAATAGGTATTTGCAGTTCTCTAGAGAGTTATATAAAGCATGGAAAAAGAAAAACTTCCTTGTTTAGTAATGTGACACAAGAGCCCTAGTACTAAACAAGGCAGAACAGCCATGATGGGCTATGTGCCATGTATTAAATTGTTCACAAACATTTAAACGTCAACTGACTCTGTTGAGGATGATAGTCAGCAGGAGTCATTTAAGACAAGGGACAACAAAACAGGATTTCCTGGTACAGGCAAATATTATAATATTATTATTATTATACAGGATTTATATAGCGCCAACAGTTTGCGCAGCGCTTTACAATATAAGGAAGACATTACAATCACAATACAATTCAAGACAAGATGGTAAGGAGGGCCCTGCCCGTGAGGGCTTACAGTCTAAAAGGGAGGGAATATAATGCATCTGATTTGAAAATATAGAAAGCGTCATTTGAAACCTACAGTGAGACACCTCTGCAGCCTTTATTCTTTTCAAATAGTTTACACTGCTGCACATAGACACAAGCATTGGAAAGTGCATTAAAGAGACATTTTTTTAACAGGAGTTAAAAATACATTCAAGTGGCCTAACTATTAACAAAAAAGTATCTTATTTGTGTATCATTCGGCTGTATCATTCGGCTGTAGATCCTCAAATCATCTGTGAATTGGTGCTAACACTGTCCTTCTTTCTGGAGGGTGACTACTTTTGTTCCCCATTGTCCCTGTGTGTGTTGTAAAGTAGCCACCATTCCAAGCTCACTCCTGTGACGGACTATGATCTCACGTTTAGTTTACTAATTTGTATTGAGATTGTAGTCTATCATGGGAGTGAGCTTGGAGCGGTGACTACTTCACAACTCATGGGGACCACGGTGAACAAAAGTAGCCACCCTCCAGAAGGAAGGACAGAGTCAGCACCAATTCAGAGATGATTTGAGGATCTACAGCTGAGTGATACATAAATAAAATACATTTTTGTTAACAGTTAAGGCACTTCAATGCATTTTTACTCCTTTTTTAAGAGAAATATAAAAATGTCTAATACTGACAGGTTTAAAAAGGGAAAAAAAATTCCCACTTTCATGATTCGAGGTATGTAACAAAGCACTGTGTGTTGAGAAGAAGTGACTTAAGGCTGGTATAGTACTAGTATGGTAAAACGGCATACTTGGAACTTACAACATATAACCTTGAAGGGAAAAGAATTCAACGATAAAAAGCATACGTGCCCTTATTTTTATCTCACTTATTCACTGTCTGATTCTGCCCCTGAAATTCCAATTAAAGTTTTATTTTTCCGAGAAAGTCAAAACTTGGACAAGGCTAGATATCTCCACCACCTCTTATGTTGCAGTGTTCAGACACAGTATTGTGGGCGGTACGAAGACTATAAACATGTGTCCTGTGTGCCAAACTACCAGGTTTATCAGTGCTGTGACCGGGGATATTGGAAAGTAAGGTAAAAGTAGGAGCAGACACTCTTTAGCTGCCTTTTTGTATTTCCGCTTCAGGTTTTTTTTTAAAGCTGAGCTCCAGGAAAGAAAAAACTTTACCCTTGTATTGGGTCCCCCCCCCACTGCAAACGTTAACTGCTTGTTTTGCCTGGAGGATGATATATAAGGTGATATACTTACCTTATTCCTCACTACCCCAGCAGCCAGTGCTCTCCTTTGCCGTCAAACACTCCAGTACATGGGTGGGCACCCAGTTTCCTAATTGTACAATGCAGGACAGCTACATGGCAAAAATGGGACGGTTTTAATATTCTGTATCCATGAAAAAAAGTAAGATGATAACAAAAGTTTTATGACAATATTGTAGATGTGTACAGCATAAAGGTTTGTACAAAATTGATTATTATACTGTTTTTCATCTACACATTGAAAAAAAAAAAGTGCGGCGCCATATTAACCGTCGACGCGTCCATACATACATAGAAACAATGGGTTCCATCATTTTGGTGCACCCCAGAGGGTTGTGTGTCTTTTTACGTGATGTCAGATGCACTAAGATGGCGGCGCTCATACAACGAATTACTATATGCCCGAATATATAGTAATTTGTATATTCGGGTATATAGTCATTCGGATTCGGATGAACTGACGAATTGACAGAAATTCGTTGATTTGGCAGTTCGTCCGAATCCAAATGCACATCTCAAAAATCAACAATACTTCTTGTTGTATAGGCGCTCCGTGCGCAGAGGAATCATGAACGCCGACGGAGACTTCTTCGGAGTGCGCTCTGTGCGCCTCCTTAATGAGACCGGCTGCCTGCATGGATGTAGAAATTAAGGCCGGCCGCAGTTGCAGTGATTTTAACATTTATGTCAATGCGGCCAGCTGGAAGTGCACAGACTCAGAGCGCGCCCCTAAGAAGAAAAACGGTAGAGGTACACCGAAATGAAATTTTGAAATTGAAACTGAAAATAAAAAAAAAGTCAGGCCGAAACTGGAAAAAACATTTCCAACCTTTTTACATTTTTAAAATATTTTATTTTTATTCTTTTTCTAAACTTTTAAATGTTTATATTTAATTTTTATTTATTTTAAATATTTTTCTTTTTTAACTTTACTGCTGGGGGCTTCGGTGAAATATCAGGGGTCTAAACAGACCCCTGATATTTCCCTTTTGAAATAGAAAAAGAGATTGAGGACACTCTTTTTCTGCGTCCCCTGTTATAAATGAACAGAAATCCTCTATACTGAGTGTTCTTGTTCTTTCTTAACTTGTGGAGATAGTATGTTTATTATGTCCACAATCATGAATGAATAGGAAGTGATGTATTCCTATTCATTCATAACTGGTACATAGTAACTCATACTATGTACAGTTATTTACAAACATTCAGCTGATCGCTCTCCATCCTGGATCGGCTGTCACAGCTGACTCCTCCCCCACTCTGCCATCTCGCCCTCCTGTCACAGCTGTCTCCGGGAGAAACTTTGGATGCACTGCAATTTCGGCCGAAAGATGGCACTTTCGGCAGAAATTTTGGTGCATCCCTAGAAAATGGGACAAAATTGATTTTTTTGAAGAAACGCTGGGATGGGGGAAAAAATTAGGAATTAATCTTACTGCCCCATTTAAAACCAGATATATGATCAGCCTATTTTGTACAAACATACTTACCTAAAGCTGGCAGTACAGCTTAAGATTTTTCTTGTTCAGCCCCTAAGGCTGCATGTAGAAAAAAATAAGTTAACTCCCCTCTCCATGCTAAAGAGTGTGGATGGAGGAAAGAAAAAACTTTACCCATGTATTGGGTCCCCCCCCACTGCAAACGTTAACTGCTTGTTTTGCCTGGAGGATGATATATAAGGTGATATACTTACCTTATTCCTCACTACCCCAGCAGCCAGTGCTCTCCTTTGCCGTCAAACACTCCAGTACATGGGTGGGCACCCAGTTTCCTAATTGTACAATGCAGGACAGCTACATGGCAAAAATGGGACGGTTTTAATATTCTGTATCCATGAAAAAAAGTAAGATGATAACAAAAGTTTTATGACAATATTGTAGATGTGTACAGCATAAAGGTTTGTACAAAATTGATTATTATACTGTTTTTCATCTACACATTGAAAAAAAAAAAGTGCGGCGCCATATTAACCGTCGACGCGTCCATACATACATAGAAACAATGGGTTCCATCATTTTGGTGCACCCCAGAGGGTTGTGTGTCTTTTTACGTGATGTCAGATGCACCAAGATCTTACTGCCCCGTTTAAAACCAGATATATGATCAGCCTATTTTGTACAAACTTACTTACCTAAAGCTGGCAGTACAGCTTAAAATCTTTCTTGTTCAGCCCCTAAGGCTGCATGTAGAAAAAAATAAGTTAACTCCCCTCTCCATGCTAAAGAGTGTGGATGGAGGAATCCCCCTGCCAGTTATTGCATCCTGATAGCCGCGGACACTAAATACCAGTGACTGGAGCTGGTTTGATGCAGTCACTGTTCAGCTGACAATTTTAACAAAAGTTGATTGAAAAATGGTGGTGGTGCGGGCAGGGCCAACCATGGATTCAGCAATATTTGATCCCAATATTTGATCCCTGTATGGTCAGCTTAAAGTATATTTCCACTTTTGCAGCCAAATTGGGATAACACCATTTTAAGTTTGTTATATATTCCCGTTCACGTAGCAGAAGCTAACAAAATTAACAGATGCTTCTTCCGGTTTAAATTGCTTTTCCTTGGGTTAGCGTTTCTTGGCTTCTTAAGGGTTAACATTTCTACTTGTTTTTCCTTCCTTGTAATGTTAGGGGCTGTGAGGGGTTTCAGGATTACAAATCTGGCTTGTGCATTCTATGTTAAGAGAAGTTAATGAGAGAAACACAATCCTCAAATTTCACTTCTAAGTCTTTCTATAAGGACAGATCACTGTGAAGGTGGTCAGAAACATCTGAAAACAGCCATCCGGCCTACTGCAACAAAACCTCTAAAAAGGTAAGAAACATTTTTTTCAGTTATTTTTCCGTATGCTGTAGTGGGATTTTCTTATCTTGTGTGTAATTTTATCCCCAAACTGCTCCCCCCCCCCCCAACTGCTTTCTGCATTTGTCTGCTTCAGTTGAGGAGGCACCCATGTACCATGTGCACGCACCCCTGGGTTGTGACCACTCCTATGGCTCCTCTGCCCTCAGTACCATCCACAACAAGGAAGTTCAGGGAATGACGATATCTTCCCCAACCTGGTGGAGGTGACAAGCAACCGGAGGTAAGTATTTAGGGTTATGTGGAAAGGTGCTTTTTTTTTTTCCGGGGAAACATGGTATGTATCAGACAAGATAACATGTACTCACCTCTGCTCTATTCTGTTGTTAAAATGCTCATAAAAACATATATACTTTTAACCTGGACTGTGCATTGTACCACGTTTCTATATCATTTATGATTAAATTTACATGTATTCATGTGAACATGATTATAATACATTTAGATTTGAATAAAAACACACATTTTTCTTGCTTAGCAAACTACTTCCACTGGCACCCTGATATGAAAAGTTGCTGCCAAATTGTGATCATTCCCGTTAGGCCAGTGCTTAAAGGAGAACTATGGGGTCAGTGTTTTTCCCCATAGTCCTCCTTAGGGTAACGGGAGGACACAAACTAGCGTCCTCCCGTTACCCTAAGCTCAGTATACCGCGAGCTACAGCTCGCGGTATACTGAGACGCCGCAGCCGGAGCGGATCCCGACTTAGACGACGGGATCCGACCAGCTGCTTGAGTGACAGCTGGCTCTGCCTATGTAGAGGCAGAGCCAGCTGTACCCGCCCCCTCCCCCATCCGTTCCGCCAGTCAGCACTGGCAGATCGGGGAATCCAGCCCCTCCCCCTGTCGCGGCAGAGAGCCGTGACAGGATCGAGAGGGGAGGGAACCCGGTATGTGTTCGCTCACCTCCCGATCTACTGAGCCGACCTGTGACAGTCTCATTGTCACAGGTCGGCTAGAACTATGGGGTGAGTGAAAAGCACTCACCTCATAGTTCTCCTTTAAATCATACATTTACTAGCAAGACACAGATAAATTATCTTCTTCTGGGTTTTAGTGAATCATACATGCTATTCTAAACCTATTCCTTTTACTCTACAGCACACAGAGCTGATTAGAAACAGGACATAAGCATATATATTGAGACACTATTTATTTTTTAGAACCACAAAGACACAGGAAAGTGACACAAGCGTAGTAAAGTAAACCTGTCACAAACATGTGAAATTCACACTGGGCATATGACAAAATAAATAAGCAAAGGTTACCTTCAGTGAAAACTGCATGCATACCGCCCAACTTTCTAGGATGAGAAAGAGGGACATTTTTTACCACAAAGTATTTAGATATAAGACATACCCCATGCCCCCATGGGCATTAGTCCTCTATATGCTGATTTTGGCTCACAGGAGTACATAAGTAAATGTATTCCGGTGACCCAAAAGAGAAGTTCAAGTGACACTAAACTCAGGAGTTATATCTTAAATAAGCATTCAAGTACCCTAACTATTACCACAAATGTATCTTATTTGTGAATCACTCAGCTGGAGATCCTTAAATCATCTCTGAATTGGTGCTGACACTGTCCTCTCTTCTGGAGGCTGGCAAATTTGGTTCCCCATGGTCCCTGTGTGTGTTGTAAAGTAAAAGAAACAGGTCACCAGCACTCGTTTAGAATAAATATGTCCTTTTTTTAATGGACAATTGTGTCACTACAATCAACAGAGCCGACGTTTCGGGGCCGCACAGGGTCTGCCTTGAAGAAGGGACCCTGTGCGGCCCCGAAACGTCGGCT